CAGAACAACTCAAAGTAATGTTTGAGCAATAACTGCAACTCATCAAAGTACTTACGGAGCGACTATCAACTACATCTTTGGCTTCACCGGCGGCGTCGAGCATCCCACAGTCGGTTGATGGAATCGCTGGCAGTATCAACGAATCTTGCTATGAACCCTCAGCTGGCATAACGTTTGATGCTTGGTTTCGTCGCTATGAAGACCTGTTCAGGGTCGATTTTTCACTTCAAGATGATAGTTGGAAGGTTCGCCTCCTGCTCCGCAAACTTGGACCCGCAGAGCATGATAAGTACGCTAACTATATTCTGCCAAAAAACCCGCGCGATTTCACTTTTGATGAAACGGTCAACACGCTTTCACAAATATTCGGTGAGCAAACGTCACTTTTCAACATCCGTTATCGATGCATGAAGCTAGTGAAGAGTGATGCAGACGACTTCCTCACATATTCTGGCATCGTGAACCGAGAATGCGAACGGTTCAAACTCGGATCGTTAACGGAAGATCAGTTCAAGTCGCTGATTTTCATATGTGGTCTACAATCCCCGAAGGATGCAGAAATCCGTACCCGACTCCTCAGCCGCATCGAGCAGGACCCATCCATGACGCTGCAGGCCGTCACCTCGGAGTGTCAACGGTTGCTTAACCTGAAGCATGACACCGCGATGGTCCAACTCGGGGGTCATGGCGGTTCCGAGGTTCATGCAATACACCAGGATACGCAACAGCCTGGCCCTGTCAATTCTGGCCCAACCAAATCGACCTCGCAGTGTTCTGGTCCGAAGCAAAACAAAGGCTCAAAGAAGACACCACCTTCACAATGTTGGCACTGTGGAGCCTGGCACTTCGTCAGGTTCTGTCCTTACAAGAAGCATCGGTGCCGCCAATGTAAGTCCGTGGGACACAAAGATGGATATTGTCAGTCACTGATGCATACGGCCTCTGCTGTTTCAAAGCAATCATCACGCATCCGTCCCAAACCGAAATCGAACCCTGTTGGCTCCTCTCTCAGTTTGCTGGCTACTTTCCAGATCAACACGCCAGGTAACCGGAAGTATCTGACAGTCACCGTAAATGGTCATCCAATCCGTCTGCAGTTGGACACTGCGTCGGACATTACCATCATTTCGGAGAGGCTTTGGCGCACGCTCGGGCAACCTCCGATCAGACAAGCAGCTCGAACTGCAACCAGTGCCTGCGGTGGAGAGTTAAAACTTTCCGGTGAGCTCCAGTGCTGTGTATCTTTTCGAGGAACTACATTTGTGGGGTCGTGTTATATAACGGCAACTGAGTTGAACCTATTGGGTCTTGATTGGTTCGATCGCCTTGGGTTAGCCGACATTCCAATCAGCGCCGTTTGCAATGCAGTTCAGTCTCCTACAGCGCATCCAGATCATGCATCCGACATTATGGAGCGATTTCCAATTGTTTTCCAGTCCGGTCTCGGTCAGTGCACTGCGACACAAGCAGTCCTCCACCTCGTGCCGGGAGCTACGCCAGTCTTCCGTCCAAAGAGACCAGTTCCGTACGCTTCCCTCCCACTGGTAGATGCCGAACTTCAACGGTTGGAAGAACAAGGCGTTCTGTCCCCTGTATCCTACTCTGCCTGGGCAGCGCCGATCGTTGTAGTAAAGAAACCTAACGGTGGCATCCGCATATGCGCCGATTTCTCAACCGGCCTAAATGCAGCTATCCAGCAGCACCATTATCCACTACCAGTACCCGACGATCTATTCACTGTTCTGAACGGTGGGAAGTTCTTCGCCAAAATCGACCTGGCTGAAGCGTACCTTCAAGTTGAAGTCGCACCAGAATCACGCCCACTACTGACAATCAACACACACCGCGGGCTGTATCAGTACAACCGTCTTCCGTTTGGCGTCAAAACCGCCCCAGCAATTTTCCAGCAATTGATGGACACCATCCTTTCTGGCATTCCAGGTGTGGTCGCATACCTGGACGACGTGCTGATCGTTGCTGTTTCCCCCGAAGAGCTTCGTGAGCGAATCAATGCCGTCTTACTGCGCATTCAGGACAATGGCCTCCGCCTCCGTCCCGAGAAGTGTCAATTCTTCTTGACAACTGTGAAATATCTTGGGTTCATTTTTGACGCCTCTGGTCGCTATCCTGACCCGGAAAACGTTCGAGCTATACAGCAGATGCCACCTCCTAAGGATGTACCATCATTACGTTCCCTTTTGGGGTTAATCAGCTACTATTCGGCATTCCTGCCTTCGTTGCACGACATCCGGCCCCCGCTAAATCGGTTGCTTGGAAAGGATGTCCCCTGGTGTTGGTCAGACGAATGCGAGGAAGCATTCTGCAAACTAAAGACGATGCTCAGTTCTGATCTGCTACTTACCCACTACGACCCAAAGCTGCCGATCGTTGTGGCAGCTGATGCCTCTAATTTTGGTGTCGGTGCCGTCATTCTACACGTCTTTCCAGACGGATCGGAGAGGGCCATTATGCATGCGTCGAAATCACTAACCCCAGCAGAACAGCGATACGCACAGATAGAGAAAGAAGCGTTGGCCTTAGTGTTCGCGGTTCGGCGTTTCCACAAAATGTTGTATGGCCGCCGTTTCACCCTACTTACCGATCATAAACCATTGCTCTCCATTTTCGGCTCAAGGAAAGGTGTTCCCGTACACTCTGCCAACCGCCTGCAAAGATGGGCCCTGATTATGCTGGGTTATGACTTCGATATTCAATATCGACGCACCACCGACTTCGGTCAGGCCGATGCATTATCTCGGCTGATCAACAACCAGCCAACACCCGAAGAAGACACGGTTATTGCGCATGTTGCATTTGAGGACCCAGCCGACCCACAGTTGGTCCAGTCCGTTCGTGCCCTGCCCGTGACAGTAACAGAGGTTCAAAGAGCTACCACAGCTGATGGAACGCTTCAAAAGGTGATCCGATTCATGAATTCTCGGTGGCCTTCGAATCTCAAAGATGATTCCCTTCGACAGCTCTTTCATCGCCGAGATGCATTAGCGATCGTAAAAGATTGTTTAATGTTTGGAGATCGCGTGGTGATTCCGCAACCTTTACGCCATCGAGTTCTTCGTCAGTTCCATTCTGGACATCCAGGAATCAACCGTATGAAGTCAATAGCTCGCAGTTACGCATACTGGCCGCACATGGACCAGCACATCACTGATTTTGTAAAACGCTGCTCCCGATGTCAACAAGCTTCAAAGAATCCGCCACACCAACCACCGGTTCCCTGGCCTCGACCTGAAAAGCCCTGGTCTCGGATCCACATTGATTACGCAGGACCGATAAATGGCACTTTTTATTTGGTTTTGATTGACGCTTTTTCCAAGTGGCCAGAAATCGTTCCGGTGTCATCTCCAACAACATCTAGTACGCTGAGAGTGTTATCCAACATTTTCAGTCAGCATGGATTACCGGAGTCCATAGTCTCAGACAATGGTTCGCAGTTCACCTCTGCTGAGTTCCGCGACTTCTGCACTCGACATGCGATAACACACGTTCGTTCACCACCGTACCACCCACAATCGAACGGTCAAGCAGAAAGGTTCGTCGACACATTCAAGAGGGCTTTGCTTAAAGCTCGAGGGGAGGAGACATCCGTCGAAGCCCTTCAGAGATTCCTGTTTGTGTACCGAACGACCCCGAATGACGCTTTGGCAAACCACCAGTCACCTGCAGAGGCACTCATGGGCCGTAAACTTAGAACTGTGCATTCTTCCATGTTGCCAACACAACCTACTGAGTCAAGGTCCATACCGGTGGCAGTTGGAACTCCATTCAAGGTGGGAACGCCCGTGCTTGTCCGTGACTATCGCCCAGGACATGATTCATGGATTGCAGGTCGTATCCTGCGCAAACGCGGTAGTGTAATGTACGACGTGTCGGTTGGTCAAGACACCTGGACCAGACATCAAAACCAACTCCGCTTTAACAGCACGCCGGAAACTCAAGTATGTTCGGGTAGCATACCGTTGGACATATTGCTCGATACTTTTGAGCTGAAAACTGAGACAGCTTCGAAAGAGGAGAGTGTGACCGGCAGCTCAGTATTTGATCCAACACTTCTTCCCAGGCGGTGGACAGACCGACGCCGCCGCCAGCCGGAGCGTATCCAGGTCGACCCCCGTCGAGTACGTTACTGACTTTTCACAAGGGGAGGTGTTGGGGATATCAATATCCCCCAGAAAACGCTGTTTTTATGTGTACTTGCGAACTCCCGGCATCTTCAAGGTCAAACTATGAAAAACCAATGGCCTATTGATACTCCAAGGAAATTTAAATCCGACCACGTACAGGATACCATTCTTTCCATTGACTTGGGTTCGGAAGCTCCGGGGGTCGCCTGTTGATCGTGTGTTGTTGGATTATTAAAGTTTGTGTCCGAGGTTTTCGTCTTCTTACTATTTGCCGTGCTAGGAGTCTGGATAGCAACATAGCTGGGGATAGAGTATTGCCACAATACGCATTATCATACTGTTTGCTCGCTGCGTGACAGAACCGTAACATATTGATGCTCCACACATTTCCACCAGCACGTCTTGCAACGGACAATGCGGGTATGCAACATCGTGTATTAAACACACTGGACAAGAAATAAATCATTGAAGCACAAGTCAACACGTTTCAAAACGTGACAGTGTTGGCAGCACAGTTGACTTGCTGAGATACACTGGTGTAAAGAAATTCCAGCTTGGCCAGAAATTTTAGTAAATTGAACACTGCCGAAAGCATTAGTGACTAATTTTGTTTTATTCAACAAGATCTTTTGGCTGATTCCAAGGTTTTTGTCCCCTATTCTTTTCCGGATATTCAACAGCTACGATGGTAGCCGTTTCAACAGTTGAATCTTGCCAGCATATTTCTCTGGCTTTTCATTTGATGCTTCATACTAGAGACTTTCGAGGACAACGTGCAGAATGATAGACTCATGTTTGCATTCATCAAAGTTGCAGGCAGACGAAGTCCGAATTAATTTTTTTTGACTGGCCCCAGACATGTTGCTTGTTGTTGTAAATTTGCTCCAAACGGACCTAGAATATCAGGCCTATTTGATTGGTAGTCAGGTGGGTAAAGAGTATCCAATCTGGTGACATCAGAAACTCATTTTAAGTAGCACTGCTAGCAAAATACAGTGGTCCGACTATTTTATAAAACGTGAATTGACGTCTAACGAATGCCACGTTCTTTTTGTGACCATCTTATTCAATGAAAATGTTCCATTTGACTACGTTTTGGATGATCTTATTCTCCTATCTCCAATGAATTCAAGTGACTCGGGGAGACAAATCCTACTTTAAGGTAAGTAATCTAACCTACCGATTCCAACCTGAGCAAATGCAACATTCATTACCAGTCTGCGAATATGCATACTGCTATGTGTTAACAAGACTGTTAATGTTTGCCGTAACGATGGATATTCCTGTTGATACTCTAAATCTGATCGTCTTTACAATGTCTTACATGCGCTCTGGTTAGCTCATCAGTGTATACTTGAACTGTAGATCGAAAAATATAACAAAAAAAGCAAGAAACATATATTTCTCGTTAAGGTGAGTAAAGATGTTCATGTTTACATTTCTATACGAATAAAATGAATAAATTGCTTTTGTTCTGGTTTACAAAATTTCACAAGTCAAAATGATGGTAAACATACTAACCTTAAGTTAGCGAAGTCGATTACTCGTAAAATCAGTTTGACCTCACCGATTCTGGACTAGAATCCGAAAGCTTCACACCGTCGGGAGCTATATTCATTCCTTTAATCCGAAAAAAATCAATGCCACTTTATGTAATCGGTAGCTGAAATAATGTATGGTTTGGTGGGATTCACCCTGTTCAATTGCAACAAAGATGTCATCTTGTAAATAAAATCGGCTTATGGTGTGAATCCAGGGATCATTCTAGATTGGTTCATTCGTTTTGGGAATCACCTCGTGCACTGTCGGTCGCTTTTGAAGCCGCGATGTTTTGTTTTCGTAGTCAAACACTCAATAATTCTGTCACGAGTGATTTGGTCGGAATGAGGCCTCAGTGTTTTCCGCCATCAGAAGTCACTTCGTAGGATTCAATGTTGAGTTGCCCTTCGTGTGAAGAACACTGGTGGCTTGTAAAGCGTCCTTCTTTCTGAACAATTTTCTTGCATTTTCCAAGTGGTAAGAAGATTTCTTGAAGTTTTGATAGAGATTCTTCCTACGGAGAAATACGGTTTTAGGACGAACGAATAAAACGTGTTGTGGTGCTCCTTTATCTTTGGTAGGGACCATCAAAACCGCATGCCTTCCAAAAATCTTAAGAGGCTCCGGATGACAGGGTTTCTTGTTGCTGTTGACCTACCCGCCACATATTGCTACCTTCCTCACTCCCTGAAAAGGATTTAAACTGAATGTTGTTGCTCTCCCCTACATCGAATTTCAACGAAATTCACCTCAGGATGTTTGAAATATCCGCTGACATGAAGAAGAGTCTACATACAACTAGATTCACACACTTCCAAAGTAAATGTGTCAGGCATAGGAAAAAAATTATTTCTCCCAGCTCTAAATTCGAGTTTCTATAATTATGAGCAAAATTAATGCGTGAAATTGTTTGCAAAGCAGGTGAACTTCCCTTGGCCAGCGTTCACAAACTAAATTTGGGAAGCATCTGCTAAACTATAGCTTGCATGCTTGGCCTGAACAGAGGCTCTACGGGTGGAAACTTACGTTAGTACATGTAGGTATATGTTAGTATAGCTTCAAACAGCCTTGTTCATCTTGCGAAATAGTTTACTATGTTGCTGTCATTTAGACACTCTCTTAGTGGGCAGTTTTATGTCCTTTCTCAAGCCCTTCATGGTGCAGATCGCAAGAATCACCCCAAGAATAACAACACAGGTAGAACTGTGAAGTACAAAAATCCAAAAAGAGGTTCCGTCACGTAAGCAAACCAGTAGGTGCCAAAAAGCCAAACAACAAAATGATACGTCCTTATTGCGAATCACCGTCATTAGCAGGTATCCCACACAACTCAAGAAAGTTTCCGACGCCCGCTTATTGATTTGAGCATTCTACCGTTCGACCAAGAGGGGCTGATCGGCATAGCGATTAACTCGCATTTGAACGAGTTATAGCACCACTTATCATTCAATCACGGAATCTAATTCACTTATTGACCGGATTCTCACGTGACGTCTTCTCACAATGAGGGTTGACTTGTTGTCTGAAGCAGACCTCTGTGTTACTTGTAGATTGGTGGCGGCGGCGTGTGATGATCTAGGAATATTTCGACAAAGATTTCATCCTGTCGATGCAGGTTTCAGACTGCTACCGGGAAGCTCGCGGATTCAAAACTTCCTACGGCTTCGTGAGACGCACACGATTGCGAATAAGAACGAAAAAGCTGTATAGTGTCTATTGGCTTTTAAGAATAGACTGACTTCACTCATAAGACAAAATCCCTATTGAATTATAACCAACTCTCATCCTGCTAAAGCAATACTTGTATGACTAGCTGAATGCTACGTACGTGATATGAGCGGCAGGGTATATTGCGCCTTTTTAGTGACGTTGTGAACATCGGTTCTCTGCACTGTGATTAACATACAAGGGCGACCGAAAATCAATCACTCAACTATTCCGCGTTAGCCATGGAGCCAAGAAGCGGAAAATATGGCGCGCTCCAACGGGCGACGAAATAACCCGGTAAGGGACTACCAGTTTAACAAATTAACCGCAAGCATGAGCTCACCAACTCCCCAGCGACTGAAACAGAAGGTAATGAAGGGAAAAATTTGGGAACTATTGCCTGAGGCCTGTCTGAGTCAGTGTGGTAGGTGTTACATTTCTCAAACTAACAAATTACTCTCACGTCTAATTTGGTTCACTCACCACGGCCAACAGCTAGCATACACAGAATAGTTTTTCCTTCTAACGTGCTTTGGAAACTAGACGAGCATTGCTCTGGCGAAATAGATAAATCCAGAGAACTATGGCGGAATGCATACATCATAATTGTAAAGTCGATAGGATTCATAGGCTTTTCAATTCCTATTCATTTCCGCAGAAATCGGGTGAAGAATTGATTGTGAGTTTTGCGGCTGCTACTCAAAATGTTCAAAAGTATAAAAACTTCTGATGCAGACAATATCGTAAGCTGATGCACTTACACTGTGTCCTGTTCAAAAGTGGTCGGTTATGGATAAGCCTATTGAATTCACGGTCTGAACCCCTTAGATTCACCACAATTCAATGGTTGCACTACCGACAACTTGGTGGCATCTTTGAAAGCCAAGAATCGGTACAAATATTACGCGTTTTCAGAGTTAGTAAAAAGATCCTCGGTCAGTCAAGACCATGATGTATGTCGTGGCGGACACCATTACTCACCAGTACTCGCAATGACCCACTGTACTCGTGCCTTAAAGACCTCTCTACAGTGCACTACTTTGTATTGCTAACACTCGGGATCTGAGAAAATCAAACGATCAATAATTTTGCTCCCGTTAAAACAGATTAAATTGTTTGAAACCAGAGATGAACTAAATTGCATAGGTAGGGACTGAAACTGAACTGCAATGATGGAAAACTGTTTCTGCTGCTCAATCGAAAAACCAACATTCACTGCGCAAATTTTTTGTGTCAATTATTTTGTCTAGCTTACTCGGGTGGTTACTGAGGACATCCCGAGCATGGAAAACCCCGACTTGGTGGTTGTAAGTTCTCCAAAGTGACAGTCTAACTAATTCACCTATAAACTTTGTTCAATACGAAAAGGGTTTCCCAAAATTGCCATTTACTTCAAGTGTATGCTGTTTAATAAAATGAAAGTATTCACAATGATAGGAGGCACCAGTTTTGAAGCAACCTTGGATCGATGTCAAACACTGTTCTGACAAGAACATTTGGGATATGCGTTTATGCGCTACCAGGAAGTTCACCCCAGATTCCTCACGATAAACATTTCTGTTTGATGTGTTCAGTCACTTTTGGAGTTTTATTCAAAGTGCTAAAAGTATTCTCGATCTGTGTGCCACTTGCAGCTGGAAACAATCTAAAGTATGTTAAAAACGATGAGCTTCATTTTTGGCAAAATTAGTACTTATAGAAATGTTCGCCTTGCGTCAAGATGAAAATGCCTGAGCGTTGCTTTATTAAGGAGTAAACTGTCAATGAGTTGCACCTCTCTAGTATAAACCTATAATAAAAATTGCAATGTTTGCATCGCACACGATTACATCCATGGCCGAGGCAATTTATCAGGGGGATTTTCGACAAGCTTGTTATCTTGCTTGGCAGTTTCTCAACAACCCGCAGCTTTAAGTAAGCCTAGAAATAATAGAACTTCTGAGGTCTTGAAGTGAGAAGTCCAAATGAACGTGGCATGAATGGAACCAAAATTCTGAAAGTAGATATAAACCGCCAAACCCCGTCGTTATCATCCAGATCCCCCAACGGCGGTGGAGTAGATTGTCATATAGTGAATTTGGATTTGGTCTACCTTGAAATGAGAGGTCCTTGTGAATGTGGTAGATTTGTTGCGAACCAGCTGTAAAATTTTGTCCACCATGTCTAGCGAAAAACTGTCTTCCTTGGTAACTCGATCAGCTTTGTAAATTTACTCTCCTCGGCTGGTCGCATAGCACCACAAACATTTGAATAACAGTAGTATTTGTTTTCCCGACGAAACAAGCTTCAAAATAATGTTTAAATTCGATTTAAATTCCATACCCATTTGTGTGTTTGTTTCGTTTTACACGCGCGATAGAATCCGGTGATGAACATACTTCAAAATGGTGTTTGTTTATTTGCTTGAAAATACAGTCGATTGGTTCTCTAAGATTCGACTTATTTCAGTGACTAACTGGAACCTTTTGCACATCAACCCATATGTAACAACTTGGCTTTGGGTTATTGAGTTTGCACGAACAGTTTACTGTATTCATAGCACTGTGCACCATGGATAAAAAATAAACAGTATAATATACTAGTAAAAATGTAGGTAAAGTAACATAAAAGCTCTCTCAATGTAACGACGCATCACAGACGTATGAATGAGCAATTAATCTGAACCGAAAATGGACCATGTGGATAGGGGCTCTGAGAATTTGCAATTGAAATATCCAAATGCAGTCCTAATTTGCACTTTTGTATGCTGACTTTCGTGTGTATGAAATCTGCCAATGTCCTCAGAGTGCCCACGGGAAAACAGTATTTTAGTTTTGTCTTAATTTGCTCGAAAATGCTGTAATGTGGTTAATGCCCCACTTTGATACATTCATTGGTTTCTTCCAATGACCGCCGACGAAAACGAGTTTATTAGCTGACCACAACGTCAGTGACTATATTGTGGACTTAACCAAAGATGCCGGAATTGGCTTTACGTCTTTACGTTTTGTTCTACTAACAGCACTGGTAAGCTGGCCCAAGATTTACGCTAATCAGGTCAGTCTGAACGAGCAGTACTCAACACTGATAGACAACGAAAGTAGCGAAATGCACTCATGGTAAGCTGGCCCAAGATTTACGCTAATCAGGTCAGTCTGAACGAGCAGTACTCAACACTGATAGACAACGAAAGTAGCGAATATGCACTCATTTGCAAATTAATTTGGTTTTGCGAGAGACTCACCTAGAACCCAGCTGAATCTCTCGTTTGTGATGTTCTCAGGCAACTGAATGTGCTGCACCAGGCCGCCTCATGTTTCACTCGGTACGATATTCGAGATATCGCGATACATGTATATCTTTATAATGTACTACTCATAAGGCTGCTGAAAATCCGTCGACATGTAGTGAAATGTGAAGAATGTCTCCAACCAGAAATCAAAGAATCATGGCGTACTCCTTTGGAGCATGTAAATCCTAGCCACTTCAAGTAAAGGCAATCGAGGAAGACATGAAAGACTTCTATGAGTTGACTGCATGGTCTTTACTGCACAATCCGATTCACGGTTGTCGTATCCACGGTCTCATTATACCTTTCTGTGGGTAAGTGAGTAGACCTTATCCAATGATTATTTCAGATATGACTTTCACCATTCAGTACCAGAAATCGTTGACACCGGACCGTTGATTGCATAAATGAGAATCATATTTGCTCAGGTTAAACCTCGGATCGACAGCTGCTCCGCCGTATATACAACTTTCAAAACGGACATGGTGCTAATAGCACCACTCTCTTCCTGCAAGCCCTCATGTTAGTACAATGGCGATTCGATCAAAGACGGCTATTCAACAAAATATCTGTCTCCAAAAGGAGTGGGGACATTTTACCAAAGACCCTTCTTTTTAGAATAAGATGGTATTTTGAGGGGAATGACTTTCGTTGACGAGACCAAATCTCTCAGATCCCCGCATTTTCACCTCACATCAAGACCACGAACTTTGTCACTGAACTGACAGATAAAATAACACGCAAAGGTTGGCCTTAGTAGTTTCCAACACGGACTGCCCTGTTTCGGAAAGTGGAAAATTGTTTACGGAATTAGACTTGATATCTTAGTTCGCTTTCACGTTGGAAAGGTGAGATTTTAAAAAGTCTGGTTTCGCTCTGATGGCTAACTCTGTCTCGGGTTCCTAAATCTGCCCTAATCATTGGAACAACTGAATTTCTCACATAAAATGGTGTCCTTATGGCTTGCGTTAAAAAGATATATGCCGAAAAGTCAAAAAATCTGCACATTTGTTTCATTTTGGCTAGAGATCATTAGCATTTCACATCCCACGAAGCACCACGGCATTTTAAGCCCACAATCGTTCAGCTAAATATCGAAACTTTCCGTCGCTCATCTACCAGTCCAGGGGTTCACGTCATCTAATAATAGGTTCACTGGCTTCCTGAGCTACAATTTTCAGGACGGAGACTGGGGCGTCTTCTGGCGGCATCGCTGAAAATCCAAAAGGCGCAGAGCTTTAGACTCCATGTTCCGTACCGTTTTGAATCCCATGCACTTCATTTCACCTGAATTTCAATGGAACCGGTAAATAAGTAGTGGATTACTCTACAACGAATATCCCTCCGAAGCTACTGATATCACGGGAGGCGCGATGAGGTGTTAATGCGATTGAATGCTGTCGCTTCAACACATCCGTTGATCCCCATCACGAAACTAATACCAAGGGTGAAAAGCGAACCACAGTTCAAGCTGGAAAGTGGGCTGTGACTTTTGTGATTTTATGATTTCCCTTGAATGAAATCCTCCCGTTATGTGGTGACACAAAGAGACGCACGCTCGTAGAAGTGGTTTTAGATGCTTACTGTTTAATCACCCAAAATCCCTGCTGTGGTGGTGAACCTGGGAACACTTAGTCGAATAGCATTATGGAAGGTGATCGCCAGGCGAAAATCAGACCCACACAGAAGTCATCTTTTGAAATTCCGGGAGAGAATTTCATAAAATACTTTTCGTAGCACCTTTTTTGTAATGCACACCATGTGCTAATGAGGAGAGGATAATAAATCGGACATTCGACATAGGTTACCTTTTGTCTGTCAGCCCTTCGATCGAGAGGTTCTTTACAGAGGGCAAGTAACAATAGTCTATTACGTCGAGTAGCTGAACAGAGTTTTAGAAGTGCGGATTTACCGTTCAGCAAAGCAATTATGCAGTCAAACCAGATCGCGGAGATTGTACAATTTTTAAAGTGGTTTGGTCTAGGAGAACTGGCCGTTTTTCGTACTAAAGCATCCTTTTACGGAATTGCCAAATATCATGTCCTTAGCAGTTTGTAGGGATTGTCCATAGATAGCGGCACTGACATGTTATGTGTCAGCGTGTCACTGAATTACCACATTTTCATGATTCATCCGGTTGCGGCAGGATGGAACGTACAGGATGGAACACGTACATCTCTGTCGATGCTTTGTGCTAAGTGACTCGGTAGTATGCAGACAGAACATTGGTCAATAGCTGCTCGGAGGAATTGATTATACTGCCTGGGGATGTTGCTCGAATAACCTGTTCCAGATCTCGGGATGCAGTTTCACCCGACTAGCCAGTGTCCACGTGACCCGATGAATTGGATTCCGTGACTGAAGGACGAGTGACGCTATATCCTCTCTCAGTGCGAGTGAGTGACAGGTGTGATCAGTAGCTCGTAGTGAAAACATTGAATGTTCAACAGACTGGCCTTTGGTTTCATGAGTTGCGCACTGTTCGTAATTCAAAATATAAACAAAACAGCTGTACACTACTTCTTTTTTGTCTACCATTAGAGGTTTCCAAATCTTCTCGCGTAACGACAGATAAATTGATATGTCCAGCAACTTCAATGGTTGTGCAGTTACAAAAATCCCCATGAAGAGATCATCGGTTGACAGAATAAGCAAGCGCATGATCATGTATTCTAAAACATACCAGAAAGACGTTATTCTGATGCAGATACGCTGTACAGGCAGCCCATGCGTAAGTATGGTAGATGCCACCTATTTACTTCCGAAGTTGAAACATAAGTCACTTCTTAGACAGACAAAACGATCCCAAGACGGTACCGCTGCGATTTAGATGTGGGCCAAGAATGGACCTGAGAAGCCACCTGCGCAAAAGATGGCCAGCGCCAATTTGTGGAAGCAGTAGTTGCGCTGCCTGAGAATGCTCGACAATGTTTATCTCCTTCAGGCGCCCGAACTATCCTATGAAATTTGGTATATCAAGTGCTGCCTGTGGAATCTAAGACAAATTCCAATGGGGAGTTTCTTATGTGAAGGACGAGCTGAATGGTTACAAGGTACTGGATATGGAGGCAAAAATATCATTCGTACAACGTTTAAGGAGGTCGACATTCTCAAACAAAAATAGGAGCTTTCCTGAATGTCATCTAAATCGTCGTCCAGCAGTAACAAACATCCGGAGCGTAGCTGCCACGCCAGCTGAATGAAACACGAGAGATACTGGCAAGTTGCCCAAGCCTAGAGAGGGGAGCAGTCAAGGTGCAGAGGTTGAGTTTGAAACTCTGGACTCTCTGGTCAGTAAATTCGTGCTTCAACCATCCCCCTTGAATAACCAACGTAAATGAACACACGCAGTCAAATACTGTCTAACTTAACTGCCAACTAGAATAATGATGGCGGTTTCAACTGGTCTAAACTGATGTTGCACACAAATGTCGTAAGCAGCTCACGAATTCAGCGTGCTAAAATGAGGTGTGCTGACTGCTAGGCACTTATTTCGCGGGCCACAAAAGCAGCAAGATTTTCCGGGTTTTTCGTGATCGTGAGAATTTCGGCAACTCATGCTGTGGGTAATCTCCAGTCGGTCAGTTTTAAAATCAGAAAAGCTTGTGAACATTGTACTGTCGTATAAATCAGCGAAGCAAGCTATCTCAGAAAAATTGAATTGAAGGCCTGGTGTAGTGTTTTGCCATAACGCTAGTGAAAAATAGTTTCAGCTATATATATGAAAGCAGGAAAAAGCGGGTTCCGAACCAGAAGCTGTGGTCGGCTGCCGTAAATCCGAGTTGAAATGCTAATATACGTGGCGAAATCATCCTCGAATAGCAGAATGCGGACTCTGAACTAGTGTAGCAGTGTTTTGGCTGAGAAACACTACGAATTCGACACGCCTGCAATTTATACGAGATCTGTATGCCTTTGGGTAAAAATCGACCTTAATTAGAATAAATCGATAAATCGACCGCATTCACAATGTTAGGACACCCCTGCGCAAATGGGCATTCAGTAGGAGCTAAACGGCACTGTTCTGTTATTATTATCATTATTATTATTGATCGTAGACCAGGTTGAGGTAGTTTTGCAAGTCCACACCCGGGTTTTCATCCCAGCCTACGAGGCTGTGATGAGGTTAACAATTTCGCCCGGATAGCCTGCTTGTAGGGTAATCCACCGTGCATTCACCTTGACTGAATGCTTGAAGTCCGTACGCACTTCCACGACAGTGCACAATGACGATGTCACCCCACTTCTGGATGTTTATAGACACCCACCACGGATTATCTGTGTTTGCCAGTGGCTTTCGAGCGGAATTCCTAATCTAAAGTTCATTACTACGTCGGTTAAATCACATTCATGGCAGAGCTGAAATTCATTTCAATGGTTTTTAAATAGAAACTCATTACTATCACCCTACCTAGGCAGTGAAACCCGCCGTTTTGAATTCGATTTGACATGTGTACGTGAGATACTATTCAACCTAAGTTATCAGGCCACTCTGTCCCTGAGATATCACCTCTTCGGGAAATTCTCCTGGGGACAACGATGTATGTGCAAATATTTCTTACCTGATTAGTCACCCGTTCTAGTGACCGTTATGATTGTCTGAAGTTCACTGACAGCCTGTTCTCCGTTGCAGCCCCACCACGCTTAAAGGACTGTCGCAACAAGTTTGTCAGAATAATGCACCAAATCAATATATTTACTGAACATAGGACGAAAATATTAAAGTGTGCACAATTTGTGCATCCGTTTTAATACAACGAGGAAGTTTACTACGAGATCGCATCCAATTACGATTCTTTACTGCATCCTGCTCACTTTTTAGGTGAAGACAATGAGCGAATAATTTGAAAACTTCCTTCCAAATCTGCTTCGTCATGACCATAGTCATCAATATCAGTAATGAGATTCGAGTGTGTTGGCTGCAGACTTTCAAGGTTGCCTGTTAATCGAGAAAGACAAAACACAGCTGCCGCGTTGTCAAACTCTCCACAGTAGTTGGGCGCTGAGAACACAGTGACCAATGATCGGTTAGCATAGAATTCATACCCATCTTCGACCACCTGATGTGCACGAACGATTAAATCCAAATTGAATCGCTCCAAAAATTGATCGATGACGTTTGGACCGAACATGAAGGATACACCTCGTTCACTGGGCTCCCATCCACTGGGTTCCACAGCCTTCTCAGAAAAATCGATGTACCACGGGTCCGACCATAACAAATCGCACAATAGACCGTTTTCTGGGACGTCGCACGGCCTTTGGATGCGTTTGATTTTTTGCCTCAGTTCAAACAAGTCGGTAACTTCAGGTGTCAGCATTTCAGGTGACAGACCACCGTGACAACAGAAAATTTGGCCCTCTATGATTGCACACACAGGCAGACAGTTGAATGTGTCGATAAACTGCCGCCAAAGTTTCGCCGAGAAGCGCCGTTTGCATTCGTCAAAAAATCCGTAGATGCGTGTGACAGATTGCGTTTCATGGTTACCTCGAAGCAGAAAGAACCGAAGTGGATATTTAAGCTTGTAACATAGCAACAATGAGATTGTCTCAAGGCTATGGCGTCCTCGATCCACATAGTCACCAAGGAAAAGATAATTTATTTTGTCTGGTTTGCCACATAGTTCAAAAAGATGCAATAAATCGCTGAATTGCCCGTGAATGTCACCGCATATTTTTAGTGGCCCCTGCAGATCAAGTAGGTTCGGTTGGGCTAGAAAAATCGGGCGTACTTTATGACACAGTCCTATCATTTCGTCCTCGGTAAGCATGGAATTCTTCCCACCTTTCTCTCGGGTTTGCCACAATCGATCAATGAATGTGTTGATCTTGTTAAGTTCCTCATTTGACAGTTGGGGAGTGGATGGTACACTGTTATTGTTTGAACTGTCCACAGTCACAGTGCACTCGTCAGACCCCGAGTACTCGGGAGCAGAAAGCCAACAACCTACATCTAGTTTGGTCAGCCATCCAGGAAAGAATCGAATTAGTGACGCCGGTAGTATAGTCCATATCTTACGTACTTCACAATATATTCGCATATCCAGTCGGGCATTCCTCAAAGTGCGAACGTTTGAAAACGTTTGACCACGCACACCAAAGTTGAACAGCACGTTTCTTGTGGAGATAAGCAATCGATGCAGGATATCTTACTATCAGCGCTGCCCCTCAACAGCACTATTTTCCGGGCAGTTCAGTCAGTAAATAATGTTCGGTGGTAACAACAGATGTGGTTCAACAAATTTTTGCGCAACAAAAAATCTGCGTATCAGGTGAGCTTGGGCTCCATACTACGTGGTGAGGATATAATCGATCTTTCGGAATTTTGAAACACCACTAGGCCGTGAGTGCACATTCGGAGTCACGTGACAGCCAACCGTCCGGCGCAAAGCTATCGGAATATGATCAGAGTCGGAACGGTGCTTTTCCAGGAAGACATTTTCGAAGCAGACACGACAAAGATGCAACAGCTGAACGCTCTTCGGCAGGTATAAATAGTATGTCATTCCTCAGCCTCTTCTACAGTGAACGCTAACTACTGAAATAAATTGGCAGTAATCTGCTGCTCAAAGTGACATCCGTTGGTAATCCTAGTGGTCCTAACCGTATGGTTGTCACTGTCGTCCCTCTAAATGGGTTCACAATCTTTATTGGCACCGGAGACTGGAAATATCACGTGCCAAACAATCAAAGTAAATTATGATAAATTATTCTGTCCTACGAAACAAGACCTCAACAAAGAATATAAAGGTTGGTAGCTGGGATCTCCAAATGCCATCCATGTGTTTGAACCCATAATAATTAGAGTGGAGGTGATGCTTTGCAGTGTAATTTTAAATGTCTTTGATAACATATGGGACACATAACATGAACCGGCGTGTCAACGCAAGATTCTATGGCGAAGTTCTCCAGCTTGTTGACCGATTTAAGTGTCTATGCTACTGAAACGTCTTGCTCTGCTGAGATTTCTCCAGATTTGTTGCTGACACACCCACTGTGCTCCTCAGAACCGTTCATACATGAAACGTCCGCACCTAAGAATTGACGAATAAGTAGACACTTGGACTTAGTTTACATTATATGTTCCTTAAGTATTTATCCAGCCGACCGGTAGAGTAGATTTTCAAAACAAAGCGCGATCTGCCCTCTAACTCGTCCGCTTTCTACTGCTCTTCATCCTAATATTCCTCAGTATCACCCATTGCAAGCCGCTTTCATGTTGCCTAGAGGTTCTCTCCGCCATAGTTTCGTTTGCAGGTGATCCGAGAGGCACCACCGACAGTAGTGGCTAAAAAGGAAGTTGGCCTCCGCTGCGGAGTTATTTATTAGAAAACCCCAATTGAACAGTTGCAGACTATTGGACAGGGGAGCAAAACTCTCACATGCATCTTGTGTACAAAAGCTGAATATCCAGCTTCTCGTTGGACGCGTCTCCCTGAACTGTCCCGGATATTCTAGACTGTTGCTCAATTGCAAGCAAATGCGACTCCGTAATAGATCTCACTTTTCAAGAGACGCGAAGCGGATTTATGAGAAAACATACGACTCGCATGCCCCATCAGTAGTGTGTACCGTTACATCGGTGGTGGGACAGACTTTCATCTGGAGATCGGGTGGAAGCGAAGAATTTCAGGCAGTAACTCAGATGCATATGTTCCGCCGGGAGAATGGATGAGGTGTCTCTAAGTGCCAATAACCATTGATGATTCCAGTCTCGGGGTCCCCATTCAGCGCAACGCCAATGACCCCTGTCCAAGCTTGGGCAACCTGGCAGTATCCCAGCCCTCGTGCTTCCTTCGGGTGGCATGGCAGCTAGACATCGGAAGGGTGTTACAGCTGAACGATACAACGATTATCAGCACTACAAATTTTGCTGGCAATGGTTTCCCTACTTCGCTTCCAAGTTATTGCTTCACCTCCCCTAACCCTTTTTCAGCCTCTTCATGATCGTAAAATCAGGACCTTTTGAGGGAGCCGATTCGATGATATAGAAACCAAGTATTCATGCCAGCGCAGCCAATGGGGTACCGTCAGCGAGCTACATGGCAGTGAGGACACTAGAATGATGATACTGAATGAAACGCTTGGATTAACACCCAATAAAATATCACGCTCAGACGATCCAGCCATCCGAATCTTCCGAGTGGATACGGATTCAGTTCCTGAAATAGCACGTCTGTTCCCTCTCATTAAAGGACTCTGCCTAGGCTGCAAAAGTAGAGTGTATTTTCAGATATTACTGTTCGCAACTTCACCCGCAAGCCGAAGATCAATCTCTACTTTAACCTATCGGAATTTCAGTTACCCTATCATACAAGCGACGGAAACTTATGTGACTTACTTGTTTTACTTACCATGAATGGTTACTCATAAACTACTGTGCAGCTTCTTGATTCGTAGATTTAACAATGGTATGTTTTTGATGTGTGCATTCAGATCCCTGTAGATATGATATCTTTTTCGCTCCGGATGCCCCCGTCTCAATGTGCATGAAGAACCGTCTTCAGCGCACTTTTGCTTGTACTTCACGTGTGCTATATGGTTGCCAAGGTGACTCGTTGAATTTTCATTTCGGCTTATTCCAGAAAATTGCAACTGCCAATGAACTATTAGAATATTAGTCCTGTTTACAGAGAAAGAAAATAAACAACCGGGAAACTGTTGAGTGCGCTCGAAAGCCATGATCTAAACGCCGTCATCATCATCGTCACCATCGTCATCATCGTCAGCTGTAATAACCGCATAGTCGTGTTGTAGCTACCGTTCACCGATGATTAGGGGGATAGGTAGCTGTGCATTGCAGGCGGGAGATGATAAATTAGTGCATAAATCCAGCACTGTTAGTGGGCTGTCAAGGGGGGGTTGGAAAAGGAGTTATGTATTGAAGGTAATAGCTTGAATTCACTAGCGCCATTGGGGGGTGACTGGGCGGGGGGGTTGGAAAAGGAGTTATGTATTGAAGGTAATAGCTTGAATTCACTAGCGCCATTGGGGGCGTGACTGGGCCATGTCTGACACTGTCTCTAGCCATTGATGTGGCCCGTCTCGAAGTCCTCATCCAGGAAGACAGCAGTGACTCAAACACAGCACATAACGAGTAAGACAAAGCACCAAAAAGACTGCGGTGCACAAGATGTCATATCAGGTCGACATACAGACACAAAAGATCATTTCCCGAAGCATTCTCCGTGGAAGAGTTTCAGCGACAGTGAGGGCTTTCTGTAGTGAATATGCAAACATGTTCGTCAACTATTGGAAGGCGGTCAAGCCCACAACTCAGCCTCTAGGTAGATTCCATGGGTATTCAAAAGGTGTCTTAATAACAGTCCGGTTGTCTAAGATCTTATTCGACATCCGATAAATGAAAAGATATTTTGAACACTGATAATTTTCCGTGAACGCTGTGAATCCACTCCTCATACAACAGATTATGAAGGGCTGCCATAAAGTCTCACACAAGTTCTGGACTATAAGAACTTGGTACAATGGGAAATTCCAAAGCACTGTTTACCGGGCAAGTGTGTCAGGAGAACAGACTGATTACGTGAAACGAATGTACTTTCGTAATCCAGGAATACCAAAGTTGTGGGCCGCTTATGTGTGTCACTATGACGCTGGTCTCTAGTTTGCTAAGCGAATCATCCATTCAACCCTTGAAGGCTGATGACATAAAAGCAACTACGCACGAGTTAACGCTCTCCATAAATGTTCCACCCAGGGGAATTTCTCAAAGTCCACATCACGCAACGGCATGAGCGGTGTAGCCGGTCGTGTATATCCAGAATCTCAACTAATCCTGGCTTCTTCAACGAGCTACGTCAATCGCCGTTATAACCCTGGTACTGTACCCAACTTCTGCCTCACACGTTCACACGCTGCAGTGATTAGAACAAGTAGGAGCGCGAACGCATCTCAGAATGTTGGCCTTGTTATGTGAGCCAGGTGACTAATCGATTGGCCGATGGCCTGCTCTCTGAGACCCGAAAGCCTGCCTCATCGATCACTGAATATATTCTGTGTTCTGGACACCGCGTTGACCCATCTATAGAGTTCAGAAGTTTACTGCTCAATATCAACTTAAAACTGACACTTTTCAGTGAGGCTAAACTGATCAATCATTACTGACCCAGCTTGTGCGCACAAAAGATCATGACACTAACAGTCAGCTTGTCTTAGACTCATAGACCCGACTATTCCATCATACGTGTGGCTTTGTTCCACTGATCTGTTGCTATTTAACCATATTTATGGTGTAAATGTCAAGTTCTCTCTTACGAGACTTCTCCACAGACCTTATCACTTGGACAGCGCACAGACCATTACAAAGAAATATCCAGTCAAGTAGTGTTTCTTCTGTTCGTTGAGGTAGGGTGAGGTAAACCCCTGTCATGCATTTCGTAGCAGCCTTTGGATCGCCAGAGCTATGCTACCGGAAGTGTAACGAGGGTTATAGAACAGCAGCTCAACGATCGTTGGGTTATTGAATTGCTATTTTGGATATACAGCGATTCCTGTGTACAAGCTGTCTGTTGTGTTCCGCTTGCTTCGGGTTGCGTATCTTCAAGATAGTCAGATAAACAGGGCATCCAGATGCCTGAAACTGACGTGCAGATGTTGTGTCCAAGACAGATGCCAGACAAAGAAAGTCATTAGTCCGGACAGGAGGATGGATATACAAATAAGGTACCATTAATGACAGAAGTGTGGAAAGGCCAGAAAGGAGACATCACCGATGGCATCAATGGCCTAAGCCTTATACTTTAAGTGCAAGTAAGGCGACCGGATCGAAGACACGGTTGACGTGTCATGATACTATTTCTGGTGGTGGAAGTCATCAAGCAGCGCATTCTAAACGGCATGGATCAGTGGCGCCTCAGTATAGAATAGAATAAAGCTAGAATAGGATAGGAGAGAACACTATATCCCTATTTCGCAAACCTTACTACTATACTGATGGAAAAATGGTCAACTTCGTTCCTAAGCCAGCAAAGGGACTGGAAATTTTCGGCCCGAACACCCCAAATAAGGGCTATTTTCCCTCAGAATTCGGGGAATTCGTGGACTTCTCGTCATTGTCAGGCTTAGCCCTACTGAATCCATCTAGAGGATATTCTGGATAATAACTTATGAGCCTGACAAGTGAACTTTCCGCATGATACGCACCACATTGCGTGAGTACTATGTTGGTCGTTTTGCCCTGTCAACACTAAGCTTTAGGTGGTAGCTGAGTTGTGTGGTTGGCAATCGATTTGACTATCCCAGACGAATAGATACTGATAAGTAGGATTTCATTGTCGCTAAAATGAGAAATTACTTTTGTTTAGCCCCGTCAAAACGACTTCACGGGACACAGCCGATTCGACGTACTTCTACTAGCTATTATCAATATAAGGGTGTCTGAATGGTCACAGACCTGTTTACTTACTGCTTGTCGAAAGGTATAGATTGGGGCATACTCCATGAGGTTTGCGCATACTTGAATCTCACCAGTAAACCTAAAGTAGAGCGTCTCACAAAGCGCCATTAGACCCTAACATCCTCCGTCATAAACTACCAACGCCCTTTTTACGACTTTTTATCATGTAGGCTGTCACCTTAGGGTAAACGTAACTCCAACATTGTGATAATATTAGTGAGACAAAAAGGTACCGACTAGGTGTCACCAGTTTCGAACGTCAACCGTGCATTCGGTAGGCACACATTTAGGTATACTATCAAGAAAACCATGCATGCCTCAGAAATAAGAGGCACTCACAGATCACACCAACCTTCCATCTGAGGACTCGTCATTCAAGGGAACAGTCAATATGTGACCCCTTGATATGATCGCGTGAGTGAAAGACAAATGGCCCCATGTTCTGTCTAAATGCGTGTTAGTCACTCTGCTGATCAGCTGCCCACTGTCGAACGGCACGCTGTTCAGCTACTAGCCGGAAATTTTTGATTCGAATCACTCCAGTGAGTCAAGAGGTACTACCGATGATCTTCAACAGAGGTGCAACTATTGCACAAGTCTTCTCCTTATAAGCCAGCTTCACTTTCATGACGAAGTCTCGATTGTTATCCTTGTATTGTTGGGTTGGTTTTGACTGCGGAGGTATAACAATTGACAAGCATCCCACCATTCGTTTGCCATAGGATCATAGACAATATTCTCACATGATGATGAATCTGATAACAAGCAATCAAACGGTATAAGAAGAGGCGAAAGAGCAAAGGGCAAGTAAATGTACTTATTTCCGGGGAAAGGGAGAGAACAGCTGTCTCAGTAAATATGATCTAATAGAAAACTTTTCGGTCCCTGCAAAGAAATCGTACCATCACTGCAGAGTGGATAAATGTTGCAGAAACTAATGGAACTTCATCTGACGTGTCCGCACATCCGACAGGACACATCGGCTTCATGCGGAAAAACAGATGAAGCCGCGGAGAACCACAGTGGGTAGACGGCAAGATTTCCACCTTCTTTCTGTCATGGGTAGTGACGCAAGTGACCTACCTGTAAGTCAGTCAGCAACAACACCGTTGTACTCCTTATCCTGCAGACCAGGAGATAAAAGGCGTACCGATTCCCACTTATATTGTTTTAGAACGTGAGACTCACACTCTGATGAAGGCCTGAGTTTTCAGAGATGACGGTTGCTCGTCTAGGCAGAGCGAACATTTCTCGGCAGGTTGATGGGTCCTTGGTTGAACCGCAGAAAACTGAATAAATTCCGTCGAATTTCTCAGCAAACCGTAGATGCCTTTTCCAACCTTGTGAAGTGCTGTGTCCACCCGATATAATAGATGTAAATCAAAGAAGTCTGTAAAAGTCATCTTTCGTTAACCGATCGAACCATGCAACTGTATGGCATACACTAATGTTGAATGGAATCCAGCACTCGTTCATGAGGGATATAATGCAGCTACTAGGCAAAAAACAAGAGGTCATTTCATTAGGAACACCAGTTAGTCAGAGAGCTGAATGTGAAACATCTTGAGACATGCTGAGCTGATAGCTGGAAAGACAGCTGATACTTTTGTGACGTCCAGAGCAGAGGGGAGGCTGTTTAGTATGCGCTCAACTTGAGCCACTGACTCAGACAAAAAAACCGAGATCTGTCCATAGCCTCTGTGCCACGAATGTGGTCCATGATACAGCGGTGAAGGGAACCCTACGATGAACTCAGCACTAGAAAGCTTGATCTACGCAGTCGAAGTGAGTTTGCAAGTGCACAGGATGATATGGACGCCCCAACCCTGATACCATTGACCCCAGCAGCTGCGTTCGTTGGGGTTTGATTTGGATTATTCGCCGCAACCACCACCAACCGTTGAGGGATAAATGTTCTTCAGGGTGGATCTTTGCTGGCCTTTTCTTTCCCTGAAGACAATCAGCCGAGCTGTTTTCGTAAATAAGGAAACATTAATCACGTGAATGGAACTCCTAAGTACATCCGAATTTCCAAAGCAAAAGGATGGAAGACTTTCTACAAGAATCGCCTCACTTTACTCGTAGGAACGAACTACGCTTCCTTTTGAATGGGTGCCTCCCTTAAGTATCTTGGCATAGTTGAGCCGAGAGGAACGAAGATACAGGCAGAGAAGCCTGTGGAAACACTCAGAACGAAGCACCACGTTAAGATGACAGCTAAATTGACATCAAGTTCGAGTCAACTGACAGCAAGGAGTGGTTATCTGACCACGTGAGCAGTGATAGCTAAACAAGCGTTCCCCGATATAAAACCGAGGTTTGTAATCGCCTAGACTGATGAAGTTATTCATTACAAGTCTTCTCATCACGGTGCCTTCTCTAGAGCCCCTCACAGTAGATGGAGTAACACTTTCACCCCTAGATAGGCGACCGTTATTGACGTAGCTGCATATATAATTTTGTCCTTTGTGTGTCGAATTTGGGCTACAAGTTCTCGCAGTCCACCGAGGAAATCTGAATCTACCCACCCCATCGGTGAAGCTAGCAAGCGTGTTTTTCGCATAAAAACCTGTCCAATGCCGTTCTTCGACTTAATCAACATTAGACTTGGTTATGAAAAGTAGAATTGATTACACTCGGTCGAGTTACAAGATTCTGATTCTATGACTGCAGTGACGGCGTGATATCATCCCTCCACCATCGCTATTTTTCCGTTCAATGGCTGTGTAAGGTTAGCTACGATGGATGACATACGTTCTAGAGACCCGAAAATAAAGCTATCAGGAAGGTCAGATTCCTGAAAGCAGCCTCAGAAAGCCCAGAACCTACTGCTCCACCAAAAACTCAACAGGAAAGCCGGTAAGCAACTAGGCCAGTCAATCATTCGATCGATTCAGCAAAACCTGATGAGTGTTCTTGCGCACCACAGAAGCACGACCAAAGGTGATCAGCGTTCAGGCTTTCCACAGAGGCACGATCGATGTTGATAGGTGTTCACTAACGCCTATCAGACAACCTGGATCAGTGTCAGAAAGTCCCCTTTAAATAACGTGCGGCCGTTGTAACTTTTGCTCTCGCACGCGCACGCACTCACGCTCTCGCACTCGTTTGTTCGGAATATAGCGGTTGTGTTCCCTTCTGTGAGACTTTTTTCACCGGCATTAGGCACTGGAGCGGGTCAGCAGCAGATACCACAGACTGACGAACCAGCAGACATAACAGGTCACCAATGTGACAAGGAAACCAAAATTGAGGAGGCATTGCAAAGTGGGTGAGCTCGATTGTGCATGCTTATTGAAGCTTGTCAGGTGAATGTAGCAGAATTGATCACCAAATGTCCAGATACAAGCTACCTACGAACACTAATAGGACGCGACCACGCGAAGTCAGACTTTCAAATTCGGATATCAAACGATCTGTTCTGGTACATCCCCTAATGAGTTACATTTGGGGGGAAACACATGGTGGGTTGTTTTCACGAAAACGTTCCATAAACTGCTCATTCTACACCCGAAAAAATCCGACCTCATCACTTTCGTCTTTATAAAGTCTTCCGTGGGGATCGCAAAACGGTACGAAAATTAATCCGACCGTTGAAACTTAGTTGCATTAGCGACGAACTCGGTGCACCGATTAGCCAAAATAACCAATTCGAGGAAAGGTATCGGGTTTCTGAGAGCAATTTGAGTGACTTTATCGCCAGTAAAGGAGTCGGAATAGAATTTTGAATTTTTATTAAATGAAACCTTCGGTTCGAACGCTAGACTAGCAGGTCCAATAGAACATGCCCAACTCACTGGCCTTACCCATGAATAGAATCAAAAACACAAACGTCTGTAAATAGAAAAATAATGAAACCGATGGAAGTGGACAAGAGTTCATTCAGCTGTATAGCAGCCTTTCGGTTCCTAACTGACATGCCACCCAAAGGGAGCACAACGGCTGGGATACTGTCCGGTTTCCAAAGCCTAGACAGGAGAAGTTGACAGGCAGAGGTCGGGTTCGAACCACGGACCTTCCGGTCAGTAAATTCGCGCTCTAACCACTTGGGCCATCTCGACGTATTTGAGGAACCAAATTAAATGGTGCGAGGAACCACAAGCCGAGAATTGACATTTATCGGTAAAATGCGGAACTATATATACAAAAATACATTTATGAAAGGGATACAAATTGTTGGACGATTTGGTACAAGTTCATAGATCCTAAAAACACTCTAGGTACAGGAAAGCCGAGGTGAATAGCACGTCGATTGGATTAGCGACAAGCATGTGCGCACGAAAAGTGGCGACGCAAGTTCAACAGGTGAAAAATCCCAAATGTACTTAACGAATTAGTGAGGTAGATTCAAAAAACAGTAAGTCCAGACGAGGGAAGATTGTGAACGACAGAAGGTGGATACAATCCACTAAGGAAAACGCAATATACATGTTGGACACGAATGTACACTATCGTGAAGGAAGGCGTCACACGTATTACAGAAAAGTCCATGACACTTGGGGCACTGATTGGCCTGTAGCGAGGACAAGTCGGTGACGAGGCATGGAAAGAGAAGAGCGAAAAAATGCATGGATAAGTGGGGAAAGCGTTTATACAAATGCAGTGAGTTTTCAAAAGAATCGAAGAGTAATTATCATGGCTCAAATGGGAAACTTGTAACGACCTAACATCGCACAAAGACAAACACGTTTTCAATCAGTAGCGAATCCGCTCAAACTGACAAACAAATCGTGCTGTAATTTGTCTACTTACCCACTCACCTAGTCTCACATACTGGGCGGAATTCAGCTACTATTGACATATTTTATACATCAACCCGCCAACGAGCTAAGCAAAGTTCTGGTGCCTATTACCACCACAATGCTCTCAGCTGCAAAACCTTTACAAGTGGAGTGAAACTTTCTACGCCAAAATGTTGCATTTTGTTGCGTATGTGCTCCGACCGAAATCCGTCCTAATTTACGCTCATTTTTTGCATCTCACCAAATTTCATTGTTCACTGAAGCAACCATGCCTCTGGCTGAAAAGTCCCGTGAGATAGTGTCCCGGCACCGATGAGACCCCGGGATGCCTAAATGGGGCTTAAAAGTTTGGACTGATACTCTCAAGTCAATTGCCCGAATGCTTTAGTCCATTACGGACGCCTCATAACTTTCGAAAGTTCGGTTCCATTGTGCGAATACTGAGCACCCAAAGTTCTGCAAAGGTATCGTCAAAAATTTCAGGAGACACAATCAAAACAACGGGATCAACAAAATGGAAGGAAAATCACCGGTGCCTAAGAAGTAAAGCGTTATGGTGAAAAAGTAGGAAAAAGACGGACCTACAGACACCTATTTCAACTGTCCGCATGAGTTTAAGGCGACGAAACAACGCAAAAAACGCGTCCTGAAAGTAAAACCGTTGCCACAGCTGAAGCCTACACAAATACTCAAAAGTACGCAGTGGAACGGATAGTTGTTTTCAGTCTCACTGGCGACAAAAGACAGTCGGGGCGAAACGATACGGCAATCTTGATGGCGAGACAATAAACCAACCAATCGATCAGACACTCTAGGGACGCGCGGGTTAATCCGAGCTGGTGCAACAGAAACTACTCAGTTTGAAGCAAATTCACCAACCATCGACAGTGCATCCTATAGCTGAACAAAAGGTATTACGTGATGTCATGATGCACAGCAAGAGATGCTTCCAGTTATACCAAATGTTGTATAAATGCACGTGAGCGCATCAACGAAAAATAGCGTTTTTGCCTCATTTTCGAGTTTCATTTCGATGTTAATCATACAACCAAGTGGGTAAAATGAAAGAGGACATTTTGAGGAAACGAATGAAGTACTTCCCACAATAGCAAGTAATAAGTTTGACCATCCTGTTTTCCATCTTAGCGATTGACGGTTAAACCTTCTTTTAACCACATTTAATGTAGTTAGTAACCATTTCACATCTAGTAAAGAAGGCCCCGGTATAATGTTTCACCACGAAATGCGTTCTATCTCTTGTGAGTAATTGAATGACACATTGAGCACGATTTCTACACTCTCGTTTCATAGTAACCACAACCAACTTAGTTTTGGAATATTAGACTGTCTTCCCGGTGTTGCCCCCCCCCAGCTCACAATCAAGTCAGGACAGCGCGTTTGTAGGCTCAGCATCCTCGCGCCACAAGCTAGGAGTGATGAGTTCACCATAATGAAACAAGGATAGGTCACTTCATTTTGTGTTCTAGATACACCCCTTCTGGTGTTCTCATCCATATCAGTGCCTTCGGTACTAAACATTTCCCGCCCCACCCATTATGGTTGCAGTACCCCATGATTAGCATGGACTACCAATTGATTTTGTCGCGGATACATGCAGTCGAAATATCGGGACAATCACACAATTCTGAAATCACACATAGCGTGGAAGAGGAGACACGCCATGGCTTCTTTTTCCACACATGTTATGTGTATTCGAACTTGTTAGTTGGAAATTAACCAAATTCCCTTGTCCCTATGCACAAAAACTTTCAGAATCTGGAAGATCAGGCCCGCTGTGGATTTTACCAACGGCGCTGATGGCATGATGGCTAATCACATGAGTTTGAGATTCATCAACGTCCTCGGTAGCTTACTGGTGAATCGCCCTTCCAAAAATCGAGGGCGGTTGTTACTGTTCAACCTCAGGCATACGTTTTCGTTCCTGTAATTTTTTTCGCATATACTGGTACACTACTGACAAAATTCCCTTGTACTTTATACCGACTGCAGAGTGATCGTTCTCTTATAAAGGAAACTACTCACAAGGTTGCTGAAAACTTTTCGACAGCCCACGACCAGTAACGCCCTTCTTGATGCTCATCAGGTAGGCGCAGTCCCCGATTTTCCGTCAACCTTATGATCTACTTGAACCCAAATTGCACTGTTTCCGAGAAATACACTCTTTTGCACATCAATTTGGTTTTCACGGGAGGCTCAATTGAATCTCTCGTTTATGATGTCCTCCAACTGAATGTGCTGCACATGGGCCGCCTCATTTTTCAGTTGGCACGATATTCGAGATATCGCAGTATATCTTCCTAAAGAAAACTATTCAAAATGTCGCCAAAAACTCTTCGAAAGCCCATGACCGGACTCGCCCTTCTTGGGCTCATCAGGTAGGCGCAGTCCCCGAGTTTCCGTCAACTTTATGTTCTACTTGATCCTTCCCTCGTTTTTTTCATAAAAGAAACAAGAAAAAGACATAAAACAAGAAGGCAAGCGCATTGTCCTCGGTGCATGGTCTGAACAAAAAAATTTGCCAGATAACTATTCGGCTGCGTAACGACTTACACCACGGTCCACTGAGGTATACAGTGACATTTCTAGTGGTAATTTCTCTGAAGAGACGATCTGCAGAGGAAACCATCTTTATCCGAATCTTTGAACATGGTGATAAATTTTGGGACCCCTAGGAGAGCACTTCTTAGTTTGGACTACGGATCACTTCTGAAAGGCGTACTGGAAGAAGCCAAAAAAAAGTTATTCCTATAGCTTTTTCGGTAGCAAATAGACGGCCATGTTCTCCTGAGGGCTTCCATTCCGGCGAAAGGCAAGGAAATATGTTTTTCGTGTGGTCATACAGAGTGATTTGTTCGCGTGGATTCATGCAAGAAGAGCACAGGCTGACCAATGAGGAACCCATTGGTTGCCTGTACTCTCGAGCCTTTCACTTTCTCCGCATCAAAGGTCAGAGGGGTGAAGTACCCCGCTTCTAACGGAGAAGAATGTTGCACAACATGCATATCACACGAGTGACTTACTGTCAGATATTCGGGGAGGACAACATCACAACCCGCACAAGTAATGATGCCCGTTTCTGTTCGTGGCACCTGGTCCGGATTCGTCTGCCTCAGCTCCGCAGGTGAAATAGGAGTGAATGCATCCAGCGGGAACAGATGATGATAGGCTCGTGCCAAATGTGGGGCGGCAACCAACGTCAAGCCACAAACTGAACATTCGACAGGCAGTTCACAATAGGCTGCACAACAACGTGGACATGCATACTGCGGGTGGCTGCTATCGGTACCACAGCCTTGTTGATTGAGGTGGCTGGTGAACAAGAGTAGGCACTTCGTTAGTAATGAGTTGAACTACATGGCTGACAAGTTTTCAATCGGTCTACTCACTGAGCGGATCGGTGGAATGTCCAACCCAGCTGGCGAGGAGTTGCGCTTAAAGGACTAGGCTTGAGACCAAAATGGCGACTACATTCACTGTCACGGTTCACGCTGCCTGTATTAAACGCCCAATTCAATTAGCAACTGGCTTACGCTAGAAAATGAACCACGAGTCGTAAGCAACTTCGAATTCATTAACTTGATTCCTGTGGAACACTTGAACATTTAATTTACGGCTTTTGAAGCATAACCCGAAGGATTCATCACAAATCAAGAGTTCCGAAGCAGGCTAACATGAGCTTTCTCCTGAAGACAGGTCATGCCATGAATAGCCCTCGGAAAGATGGCTTCTCGGGCTGAATGTCTCACTGGATGTATAAAAGGGAGTGTATGAGGCTTAAGACACTAAGGAATGGTCAAAGACAATGAAATAGACAGAAAGGCATGAAAGTAGTGCACCACGCAACGAGTCTCGGTTACTCGGATGCCCAGTCAAAGTACGGAATAGGGATTCGTGATGTTTCAAGGGAAAAAGTTTGTAAATGGGTCGCATGCAGCAAGTGCAGAACGTCCCGAATTCACCAAACAACAAGAGTTAGAGTGTTTTCAGACTGAAGAAAATTCGTTCTGCAATTCCAACAGACTTGGAGACATCTTTTAAAGACAAAAAGAGAGCTCAGAGCATATGACATGTGAATAACAATCCTGTTGAGGCTTAATGCAATATATGCAGTATATATGCGAGTATATGAAAATTTGTATACGGATGAGCCCAGCACCGTTGAGAAGATGAACGAACCGGACTTTCACGCATGATAGTACCGGGAGTCAGATTTTGACTGACAACATAGCGGTTTGGATTCATGCTACAATATGGCCTCCAATGAAACAGGGTAGCAAAACAACAAGCTTTGAAACTCTATAGTAAATTGGATTGGAACGATCAATTTAGTTATATCCTACGGAATGCGAGTAGAATGTGCAATTGCAGGGTCAAAGAACGCCTTGAGGGAGACAATCAAGCAATGTGACTGGCTACTCATCAGTGTAAATTGCCAAAGCAACTCCAATACGGTCAATATGCACTTTTTAGTGAACAGTATAAACAAAGTCCGCTTTAATCAGTCCCCATTTCGTCACTGTCATCTGGAATTTGCCAGCTGATGTCACATGAACTAACTTACCACATACAAAGTACGGTACTAAAATTTCTCAGATCGAACGTTTCTGAGTGGGGAAATGCTGTGAACAAAAGGAAGAAAATGAATGGATAAGTCCACCAAGACGGGGTTCGACGTGAAAAACAAATTAGAAACCGCCTTCATTCACACTCACAAACTGTCACTTTGTGATTCGGAGATAGATCAAAGGAAATAGGTAAACAACACGTAGGCGAAATCGGTCCACGTTCACGCTTTGTAAGCGTTTCTTTTCAGCCGAAAAACGCAGCTGAGTTGGATGAAAACCAGTCTTATGCGGGAAAATGTCATGTAGGGTTGTAGCGGTTGTTTCGGATTTTGGTAGTCATCCCAACAGGCCCTACATTTGCAAATACTATCGGCTGACCACGCCGGCGAACGAATCAGATATACTGGAGTGGTAGTGGATGAGTGGAGCTGTAGATACCTGCTGAGATTGGTAGGCGATGCTTTAGAGAACGGACAGTGGTAGGCGAGAGAGCAATGATCGACCGGCGAGTGATAGGCAAGCTGGTTGGTTGATCGATAACTTCGGCTGTCTGAGTTACACTAGCTAGGTCGGTGAAAACGCCGTTCACTTAGTGCCTAGTGGAGAAATGAAAGAGACTGCACTATCCGACACCATTTAGTGTCTCCGACAAAATACACACAGGCAGTAATAAAGATGTATTGCCGAGGGAATTCAACTACCAGGGATCGGTGAACGTGTTGCTTCCTCATCAAGACACACCTTTTACCAGATCTCACATCCCCCTTGTATAATGAATCCACTGTCTAGACAGGGATAACCTGGCAGCATCCCATCCCTCGCGCTTCCTCCGGGTGGCATAGTAGCTAGGGGCCAGAAGGGTCCTACAGCTGAGCACGCGCTTTCAACACTCCTCTATATGATTTACGGCCTTTAGAATCGAGGACACTTAACAGATTGAACAGCAAGACAAGTAATCATCACTACTGGCGCTCGGGTAGTGTTCCATTGCTATCATGTCAGTGTCTCCCCATGTTCTACGAATGGAATCGTATCAGGTTTCTACACCGCAATGCCACATTTACAGTTTATCACCTCTTGGACACGGGGTTTATAACTAGACTATAGATGGAATGACAACTGACAGCCAATATCATTTTTCCAAGGACAGCACGTAAACGTGTCTACAGAATACATTCTGATGTTGATAGATCATCTGAATCAAAGAATGACGGTGATTTGTGTTTAATTTCATCTACGAAATCAGTCCCATTCTCGAAATACACTCACGGCAAATTAAGTTGGAAGATTCAATGGAATCCCAGGCGAATCTCGTTTGTTATTCAGCTCGAGAACTGTGCCTACCTGACAAGTCCAAAGAAGGGCAAAACCGAACGTGGGCTATCGAAAAGTTTTCTAAAACTTTACAGGTCTCCTTTTGGCACGGATGCTGAGTAGCATTGAGTAGCCAACTGACAAAGCGTGCGACCATTTGGTTCGAAAGTCAATTCAAAGGTCTTAACCCTTTCTGAGAACTTATAAAAGACAAAGGTTTTTTTTACATTATTTCACATTGTGTCCAAAACAATGTTTAGGATTTTTCCACGTACATTATCGGCAAACTAGTATTTTTATAATACTATTAAGCATGACCGAAACACGCAGAAAGTCACAAAACGCTCGGTGTGTCAAAACATTTCCGGAAGAGTGATACACTATTTGATGGGTGGGTGAAAGAATGTTCACTTTAAGCGTTTCACATTCGGAGCATTTAGTAGAGATAAATTAGTATAACGTGACCAAAAGTTACTGCTGATTTGAAGCAGTTTTTATCAGTTCGGTTAGAAACTGGTAGCAGGCTTATCTCTGGAAAAGACTACCCGATAAACCCTGTAAGATTCGCAACCACGTTTGAGAAATACCACATGAATCCTAGACATAAAGGCACGAAGACCTGGGAGTCTTCGTTTTGACTGTGAACGTTCGTTCTGCAATTGCCTGCCCCCTCAACTCTTCGCCAACAAGGGTCCAGAATGAAAAAGAGGTCGACAAATCAAAATAGCGAATGCCGCGGCCGCAACGAGTTGATCATTTGATCAACCTTATCAAAAACGTTCTGAAGGACCGAAGACAGTCAAAATTTCAGAAAAAGTGGTCATTCCAAGTCTCGAAAATGAACAACCGAGCCATCTGCTTTGTCAGGGCACACGTGACAGAAGAACCAAATAGTGTGATCGCTTCTGGAATGTTCGCAAATAGGTTGGAGTTAAATTGAGAGAAATAACAGTGCGAAACAGGGAAAATTCCAAACACATTTGTGGCATTTCCGAGAGGAACTCAGGTAGTAAGTTGACAGAGGTTCAGGAGATAGGCTAAGCCCATTCGCCTAACAAGCGATGAGAGATTATAGTCCGCAGTTTAGAGATTTTCATCGACTCTTTGAGTAGTAGAGACCGCAACTTCGGTTGTTTGTTATCATCATTCCGTCTTGAAATGCATTTATTTCCATCCAACTTCCGTAAGCACATCAAAGATGACGATCTAGAACCATTAGAGTCCGGTGTGACACAAACCAGCAATCAATAGTCACCTACTCATGTTCCGACAGGCAAATGAGGTCATTGGTTAGAATGGCTCAGATATCAATGCCACCGATACCCCAATGAAAGTTGAACACACGTTAGGAAAAGCAGCAAAGTCCGATGAGTACTTAGAGTGTACAGTCGGTTCATTCGTTGGGGACTATAGGGGAGAAGAATAAGTCGTTTTATCTGGAAGCTGTAAAATTACAATATCAAAGTACTCAGGACTCATCATTGCTTTCCCTTTATTGTCTTCAAAATTACTAGAAATTCCCAACTTCCCTGATTTACAGAGCCAAAACGCTCGAACAACCTCAATTCTATGGATCCGGAACTGAAGGTGAAGACGGCAAATATGATTTCAATATCTAAAGAAGCTGAAGTATGAAGGACATGTTGGTTGTAGAGAAACACACTTTCCATTGATCATCAATTCATATTTTTTCATCCTTTCCCCGTCAAGTGGACAATGTTGATTAGTTGCATCTCACGAATCGTTGTCTGATGGTTGAATCGTTTTCGTTTCACAACCCTGAATTCAGTAAACCGAGTGATTAGAAGTAATGCATGAAATATGGGCCTGTTACGAGGCAAGTGTAGCCGGTTCGATTGAAACAGCTATTCCACTAAACAGAACTGGAAACCACTTTCGCCCATCGATGAACAATGCCTCATCTTCTTCAAGCTGAAGAACAATTCGTTCACGCAACTCCGCCTTGCCAGTATAACGTTCAGCAACCATGAGCATCACCAACCGACCACTAGCAACATATCTCAAGGATATTATTTGCTCAACGGCCTGACCAGTATAGCGTGACACTCGTTTAACGGAGTAGATAGTGCTAGATGAAGTAATAACCAAGTGCGACGCAACCGGTGCCGATAAAGTAATACGCAGCTTGTGTAAACAGTGGGAAACCTTAGATTAATTAAGTTTACTCCACTAGGTGATCCGAGGTTACAACAGAGGGAACTGGCCACAATCACAATAAACAGCGGGCTAAAACAGCTCAAAGTAACAGGTTTACCACCAAATCAGTGTCATCATCATCATCATTGTCAGTTGTAGTAACCGCGTACTCGTAGTACAGTGGTTATAGCTGCCACAGTGTTTTTGTCGATGAACAGTGCAGCAACATACAGCCACGTACAAGGGGATAAGAACAAACTAACTAGTACAAGTTGCGCGATAAGACCCTAAAACACACTCACCCATTCGTATAAGTGTTGCAGGAGCATCAACCTAAGTAATATGAAAGGAGAAGAGGGATGGTTGAGTATCAAACAAACACTTGATTAAATTGTAAACCTACGGGGTGAAAAAAAAGTCGTATGTGACAAAGAAGTTGTTCGGTTCTGTTAACCATCGTCACTTCAGACAAAATATGACCGATATTGACGGTACTCCAGACGACAGTGACAGGGGACCCGTCCGGAATGGGTCGCAAAGTACATGCACACAAATTTCAGTTCAGTAGTCAGCCTGAAGACATTGAGGGAAGCTGCTGAACATAGCTTCTACTGAACTCGACGTTATCTACGCAAAACTCCTAAGGGGACCTCGGCATCTTAGAACAAGCCAAAAACAACTTAAATGGTCGCTTAACTGGAGGTTGAGTCTAATTTTCCAGAGCTCCACATGCCAAAACAAAGAATGGATACCAATTGGGTGAAATTATCACCACGATCATTACTTTCGAGTTTTAATAAACTCGAGTGACCTTCGGATAAATCGAAAAGCTCCACGTTCGTGTAGCGTATTTAAGGAAGACGCTCGACGAGACTGCGGTAACTACAAATGGATAAAAAAAACAAGAAGCTGGATAGGGCAAATACTAGCGAGAAATATCTATCCCGCAATGGTGTAGGTCGTCCGACTTACCGTGGCGGCGGGCGGCGGGACGAAGTTCTTCAGAACCGTTTTCAGATGAGGTTCGTCAAGAATCACGTGAAACTGTCCTACAAAGCAAATTGATCACGACATGCATACAACTCGCATGGAAGTTGATCGGAGACTGAGAGGAGCCCTCAGATAGGATGATTTCTTATAACAGTTCAATTATGATCAAAAACTCCTCCGCACGATTTAATTCGGTTCCACTTTGGACTGATCGAAAACTCGCATTTAATACAAGCACACTCCCCTAACACAAGCAAGTCACATTGTCTTTAACTCGCTAAGTTGAGTTATCCACAAAAATCTTCAAAAGCCAAATGCCTGTCATATGCTTTTCACCTCTCATGGTTTCCGCAAACTACCGGGACGGTAACAAGGCGGTGCAAAAAGAAAGAAAATGGCCATTGTATGCAGTAGCAAACAGCTTTGGGGTTCACGCCAGCTAGTTCTGGGATAGACGCAAGAACTAGTCCTTAAGATGGACGACGTTGAGTACCCTGTCAGTAAGAACTGTCTAAGAAGTCTCCAGTTGTATTATAATGTTTACTTCCGTTTGAAAGGCCAACTTACTCACTACTGAGAACGCGCTAAGCAGAGGCTTTAATGTGTTTGTATCCTGGCAATCGGGAAAGGCCTCTGATCGTGGCTGGTTAAGTGTGGAATTCTAGAGTGCATTTATGTATCTTGAAACTGTTTTTACTTCCCACCTGTCCCAGTGGATACAGTAAAAATTCTACCAGCCCTTTCGGTGCCCAGCTTCCGTGCCATCCAAAAGAAGCGCGAGGAGTGAGATACTGTCAAAGTGTCCAATCCTAAACAGGAACAGTCGAAACGCAAAGGTTGGGTTCGAACCATGGACGTTCCGGTTAGCAAGTTTGTGCCTTAACAACTGAGCCATCTCGATCCCAAACAATAAAAATCTGCCTAGATGCCCCCGTAAAACGATATTTCCTTGCATCTAAAGGATTATACCAGTTCCGAGAAAGCTTCACACCCCCTCAGTATGTAAAAGAATTGCGTACTCACATTTAAACTATGCAAAAGTAAGGTTTTTCTCAATAGAGATCATTCTAAGGAGAGACCATTTTAGTAGGAGCCCTGAAGATGTCTCACTGGTAAATTCTCCCTCGGGGAATCAATTTGGACAGTGTCAAAAGGGCAATATAACTGGAGTAGTCCGTACGTTTTTAAGCAGTATACCATTGGAACAACCACCCGTAGAAAAGGTCTCCTCAAATGGATGGACGCTGAAAAGACTGTTTTAGCCAGGTACTAATCCGTGAGTGAGTATTCACTTAGTTTAACGTCCTCGATTAATTTTAGAGAGGAAACTGTATAGCTGAAATCAACTTACCCCAACTGTGGATGTAACCAATGTGAGAACTTAGCTCATAATGACCATGATAGTAGTTGATGGGACCGGCCGAAATTGGTCGCAAAAGTGAGGTTATCACCGCTAGAAGCCACGCATTTTACTATCTGGAACAATACATGTCCTACCCACCAAGATAAGGTCCACTGTCAATCCAAATATACTCATGAGCAGACGAACTAACCGGTTATCCACGACCTTTTTTGCTGGGCTACTCTCAGTCCGTCAAGTGTATCAAGGTTGCTAGTAAGGTGTCAAATTTCCTATCTTCCCTTAAACCTCTCTATTCAGTGATGAATTCCACCACGACAAGTCCCCCAAAAGAAAATATCACGTGAAAAGAGGATTATTCGGCCTCACATATGGGAGTCGCATGCTAATTCTTGCTTGATGGGGGGTGCGCCAATGTGAACCCTCTACAAGATCACCACAACTGAGTTACGGCTGTACCAATGGAGAAAAAGAGCGGCTGAAAACTCACGGGGGATAACATGTAAGAAAACATCTTGTATCTCCTCCTCACCAGCAGTTGGAGAAATTTGTTACTGGTCTGTCTGATGAGTGACCGGTACTAGCCGCGTGATAAGAGAACATCATAAACAAGACACTGACTCGACGCCCATTAGAATATCCTTTTCACAATAACGTCATATATATGTATATATATATATATATATATATATATATATATTATATATATGTGTGATGTGCGTGAGAGACAAAGT